ACACAGCCCTTCTATTCTCCCCTGATTGGTCTCCCCAAGGAATGTATCTACCTAGTGTAAATGTTCAGCTCACATGCCTGTCTTTTGTTTGGCTGGAAGCTGTGGGAAGCCCTTGAGTGGCTCCAAGACCATGTTGAGCCAACAGAACAAGGATGGCATCGGTGAGCTCTGCCTCTGGGGCCGGCATGTCTTCATGGGCTACCTGGACAGGGAGGACGCCACCAGGGAGGCCATCGACGAGGACGGCTGGCTGCACTCGGGGGACCTGGGCCGCATGGACAAGCATGGCTACATCTATATCACTGGCCGAACCAAAGGTAGTGGGAGGGGCTTCCTGCAGGCAGACCTACCCCAACTTGGTTTCTTTTTAATTATTGTGGTGTAAATAGATACGTCAAAACATTGGCCGATTAAACAGCATGCGCACTTAGTACACAATGACACTGATGACATGTTTCATGTTTTACCGCCAGTCTCGTTACCTGTTTCCAAATTATTTCACCACGGTGAACATAAACACAGTGCCCCCAAGAAAAATCTCCCCCTTCCCCCCTGCCTGCCACTCCTGGCAGCCACTAAGAATATTTGCTTTCTAGGAGCTCTGATAGCATAGTGCCTAAGGCACTTGACTGCTAACCAGAAGACTGGAGGTTCAAACCCACCAGCCACTCCTTGGATGGAAGATGGGGCAATCTACTTCTGTAGTGATACTGCCTCGGAAACCCAAGGAGGGGTCGCTATGGGTCAGGTCCGACTCAACAGCACATAACAACAACAACGTTTGCTTAAGGAACCCTGGTGGTACAAAGATTATACGTTTGGCTACTAACCAAAAGATTAGCAGCTTGAACACACTCAGTGAGTTGCTCCTATGAAGATCAGCCTAGAGAACCCTCTGGGGCAACTCCACTCTGTCACATGAGGTCGCTGAGTTGAATCAACTCAATGACACATATTGCTATAGTACCATGTCTGTTTATTTCATAAAAGTTTAAAAAAAAAAAAAACTCAAAGAATTTCAACTCATAGCAACCCCTATTTTGTTTCCGAGGCGGTAAATCTTTATGGAAGGAGAGTGCCCCATCTCCTTCCACGGAGTGGCTGGTGGGTTTAATCACTGACCTTCTGGTTAGCACCCAGATGCCTTATCCACTACACTGCCAGAGCTGTATTTGTTCTTTTGTGCCTGCCTCATTTCACTCAGTATCTGTGGTGTGGCATGCATCAGGACATCGTTCCTCTTCGTGGCTGAGTAGTATTCCGTGTGTGTAACTATCTGAACCAGTAGGCACTCCATCCCTATATAGGCATCAGGATTCCAACACATGTTTGTGGGATGGACAGTTTAGTTTATAACAGTGTCATCTGTGCCAACATCTGTCCGTCTGATTCTTGACGGGTTGGGGGTTTGGGTTGTTGCCGTCAAACCTGCACTGAGCCCAGCTTTGTTCCAGAAATCCTCATCACTGCCGGCGGTGAGAACGTGGCCCCAGTTCCCATTGAGAACTTGGTTAAGCAGAGGATCCCCATCATCAGTAACGCCATGCTGGTGGGAGACAAGGCCAAGTTCCTGAGCATCCTGCTGACGCTGAAGGTGACATGGGCTTGGGGGGCCTTGGGTCTCTTCCTGGAGACCCTGTGTCTGGGTTATGCTCCCCCCCAGCCCCAGTGCAGGAAGGGCCCACCAGCAGATTCACGACCCACTTCTTTGTTGTTTTTAATGATTTATTTTCTTCTGTTGTTGTCGGGACATGACAACATACACCCATGCAACAGTTTCTGAGTGTGCAGTTTGGTGGCATAGATTATATTCTTGAGGTGTGCAACCATTTGCCCCCTCCTTTTGCAAACTGTTCCTTTCCTGTAGCATAAGCTCACTGCTCCCTAAGGTTCCTATCTAACCTTTCAAGTTGCTGTCGTCAGTTTCATCTTAGTCCTCCAGTGCTGCTGTAGCAGAAAGACCACACGTGGGGGGCTTTAACAAACAGAAATTTATTTCCTCAAAATTTAGGAAGCTAGAAGTCCAAACTCAGGGTGCAGCTCTAGGGAAAGGCTCCCTCTCTCTCTGTGGGCTCTGGGGCGGGTCTTTGTCTCTCCTTAGCTTCTGCTCCCTTGGTGGTCTCCATGTGGTGTGGCATCTTCCATCCCCAACTCTGCCTACCTCTCTGTGCCTAAGGTGTTCATTTTCTATCTCAAAAGTGATTGATTTAAGACCCACCCTGCACCAATACTCATTCATGAACATAAAAAAGAAAACCCTATTCCCACATGGGGGGATGTCCACAGGTATAGGGCGTAGGATACCACCACTATTCAATCCATACTATCACCCCATAGAGAAAGCTCTTTCAAGAGTACAATGCAGATGGGGACCATCTTCTTGGTCTTCAGGGCCTAGGGGCTGGACAGGGAGTAGTGTGTTGGCTCCGAGTGTAGTGACGTCAGTCTCCCTGGGCAGTGCGAGTTCAACTCAAAGAGTGGAGAGCCACTGGACAGGCTGAGCCCAGAGACCATCAACTTCTGCCGGCACCTGGGCAGCCAGTCGACCACCGTGACAGACATCCTGGAGGGTCAAGACCCCTATGTCTACACAGCGATCCAGAAAGGCATAGACAAAGTGAACGAGGCAGCTATCTCCAACGCTCAGAAGATTCAGAAGTGGCTCATCTTGGAGAAGGACTTCTCCATTTCTAGTGGAGAGCTCGGTGAGCAGCTGGGGGGCTGGTGGTGCTTGTTCCTCCCAGCGTCTGGGGCCACGTGGTTCTTAGCAGATGTGCCCTTTTCTGCAGGTCTGTGGGCCAGTGGAGACCAAAGAGACACAGTCATCTACAACTAACTACAACCCCCATCACACACACACACACAATCCCTTCTCCACAGGGCAGCCACGTCCCCCGCCTCAGCACAAAACCCACCTCCTCACTGTGGCTCTCTCTTCCACTACCTGTCCTTCCCACTCACCTTGCCTCAGCCACATCTCACAGTTCTTCCAACTCTCCAGGTCTGGTCTAGCCACAGGGCCTTGCATAGTCTGATCCCTCTGCCTGGAATGCTCTTCCCCTTAATTCTTTGTCTGGTCGGCTCCTTCTCAGCATCCATATCTGACCCAAAAGGCCACCTCCTCCAAGAAGTCTACCCTGACCACCACCCTTCATATCTCACCCTGACTTCTTTCTGCCAAAAGACATTGTAATTGGGAATTATTCTGCTGCAACGATGGGTTCAGGTGTAGCAAGGATCGTGAGGCTGGTGTAGTGTTTCATTCTCTTATACACAGGGTTTCTATGAGTCAGGGCCGACTCAACAGCACCTGACAACAAATAGAGGAACTCTGGTGGCACGATGGTTGAGTGCTTGCCTGCTAACCAAAAAGGTTGGCATTTTGAATCTACCTACTGGCTTCGCCAGAGAAAGACCTGGTGGTCTAAAGATCTAAAGCTTCTAGCCTAGGAGACCCTATGGGGCAGTTCTACTCTGTCACATGGGGTCACTGTGAGTGAGGATCAACTTGGTGGCACCCAATGACATATCAATATATTGTTGTTGTTGTTGTTATGTGCCATCAAGTCGGACCCGATTCATAGCTACCCCTCCTTGGATTTCTGAGGCAGTATCACTGTGGAAGTAGATTGCCCCAACTTCCTTCTGAGGAGTGGCTGGTGAGTTTGAACTGCCAGCCTTCTGGTTAACAGTCAAGTGCCTTAGCCACTATGCTACCAGAGCTCCCTATCAATATATAGACAGAACCAATAAGATATATAGGAGCTCTGGTGGTGTAGTGCCTAAGGCATTTGGCTGTTAACCAGAAGGCTGGCGGTTCAAACCCACTAGCTACTCCTCAGAAGGAAGGTTGGGCAATCTATTTCCATAGTGATACCACCTCAGAAACCCAAGGAGGGGTCACTATTAGTTAGATCCAACCCGATGGCAGTGAGTCACGTCTAAGTTAAACACCATCTTCATGAGGTTGGAGGACACCTTGAGGGGCCCCATGTCCCATGGTGACTCAGAGACTCTGAGCAGCTGGATCCCACCACACCCTTGCGTGGCCTCAGAGGGACTGGCCCTCTCTGAGTTCCCAGTTCCTCAGTGGGAAGATGCAGGGGGCGGTGACGTTCCTCCTGTGTTGGATGCACAGTCCATACCTGGCATAGAGCTCTGGGTATCTTCACCGTGCGTGGTCCCAGGACAGAGCAGAGGTTCTGACATCATCCCCACACACTGATGCAGAAATGGCGGTCCCAGGACGTTGATGGCAGAGCCGGCCAGAATTGCGGCTTACCTCTGCCACTGAACCACTGTATCTGTTCTTGATAGGTCCAACGGGAAAAGTGAGGAGACAGTTCATAACTGAGAAATACAAAACGCAGATCTCTAACTTATACCACTGATTCCTTGTGCAGACGCTTGTGGCTGCGGCAATGGTAAGATACGGCTGTGGGCTTTGGGGGATGACAGTGGGCTGTGAGGGGATGGTCAGAGCCAGACACACACTCTCACGCACATGCACAATTACAAATACGCTCACACACTTGTACATGCACATACACATGCAAATACACTCAAAACACTCATACACAGAACAAACACACAAATACATAAACACCCACACATACATACACACATTCTCACATACACACACACACTCACATGCTTACACACACACACACTCACACATGTTCAGTTGCAGTGGATTCTGAGAATGTGTGGCCTCAGTTTATGCTCTCTCTACAGGGTTGTGGTAAAAAAAAAAAAAACCAAGAATATTGCTATTGTGTCAATTCCGACTCACAGCGCCCCTAGAGGACAGAGTGGAACTGCACCACAGGGTTCCCAAGGCTGTCAGTCTTTGCAGAAGCAAAGCCCAAACCACACCCACTGCCATGGAGTTGATTCCAACTCACAGCACCCCTAGAGGACAGAGTGGAACTGCCCCACAGGGTTTCCAAGGCTGTCAATCTTTATGGAAGCCGACTGCCTCGTCTTTCTCCAATGAAGTGGCTGGTAGATTTGAACCGCTGACCTTTCGGTTAGCAGCCGAGGGCTGAGCCACTGGGCTCGCCAGCTCCTTCGTGATCACCCACCAGCGTGGTTAGCTGTCCTTCCCGCCTTGTCCACTCTCCTCAAGAAGGAGCTTTCCCTGCAGTGACCATGTTCCACTGCAGCCCATTTGGTGAAAAATCTTTAATCAGAAGCTTTGGTGGGTGCTGGAAGTCCCACTTGCCAGGAACCTAAGGAATGGGGTGTTTTGGTCATCACAGAGGAGATGGCGTAAGGTGGGGCACTGGCCTACCTCACCCATCCTGCCTTCTCGCTCTCCCCCAAGTCCCGTCTGTAAGCAGTCTCTGTGAGTTTTCTGGAACTTGGCTAGCTGGGTGGTGCAGGGCAGAGAGCGTGGAACACTTCTTTCTGTGACTGGCTCTGTAACCCTTTGCTAACCAGACCATTCTCTCTGGCCCCAGCCACCATGCCCATTTTCTTGACTCCACCGTTGACTGGCTTAATGTTCCACATACTCACCTGTCAGTGGCTCTTGGATGAGCCAGGAGTTCAACACATTACATTCATCAACCCCAAGAAAGTCCACATCCACAGCCAGATTTCCAGTCTGCAGCTTAGTGAGAGGCCACCTGACACTGATGGGGAGGTGGGCCGTAGCCCCCCTAGACCTACTGCCCAGTACAGTGTAAAACAAATACTGCATTGAGGACTCAGTACTATAAAGAGATGGTAAAATATCTCCCTCGTATTTTTCATATTGAGAGCTGAGTCCCTGGATAGCACAGATAGTTAAGAGCTTGACAACTAGCTGAAAGGCTGCTGGTTTGAATCCACCCCGAGGTGTCTCAGAAGACAGGTCGGGAAACCTTTTGTTTCCAAAAGCTCACAGCCTTGAAAACCCTGTGGAACAGTCTGCACCCAATGGGTTACCATGTGTCAGAATCAACTAGCCGGCGGTTGACAACAACATGCTGAGCACGTGTAAAAATGGCAGCATTATGGACAAACTGGCTGAAATAAATGATTAAAATAAATTTCATTGGTTCCTTTTCCTTTTTTAACATGTCTACTAGAAAAAAGTCAGTGACCTTGGCAGTTCGTAGGCTATTTTTATTGGACAGCACAGGTTTTAAGTTCATTGGGAGGTAATTTTGAGTGAGGACCAGTTGGTAAATGGGTCAGGTCATTAGGGAATATTTCCATCTTATGGTAACTCTCCACCACTCGTCTGCCAGTTTATCGTACTGTGGTGGCTTGTGTGTTGCTGTGAGGCTGCAGGCTGTGCCACCGGTGTTTCAGATGCCAGCAAGGTCACCCATGGCAGACAGGTTTCAGAGGAGCTTCCAGACTAAGATAGACTCAGAAGAAGGAAGGGGCCATCTGCTTCTCAAAGAATTGGCCAGTGAAGACTTTATGAATAGCAGTGAAACACTGTCAGATATAGTGGACTGGGCAGTGTTTCATTCTGTTGTACATAGGGCTGCAATGAGTCAGAGCCGACTCAACAGCACCTAACAACAACAACTATAGTAACTGTGGGGTCTCGGAGGATGCATTTGCAAATTACAAGGAGCCCCAGGGAGTCATGTGTGTTTCTATTCTCTTTCTCCAGCCTCCAACAGGATGACCCCATTGTGACACACGACCTCTCGCTTCTGGTCCAGGGTCTCTGTCTCTGGTTGTTAAGAAGCCATGGGTCTCCACAGGTCTGCCTCTTGACTGTTCACCTGTTGAAGAGGTGTTCCCAGTGGGACCAGCCACACTTTTAAAAAACACTAGGATCATCGTCAAGTCTTTGAAATCATAGGAACCATCAAGGTATCCATCCCAGGAAAGTGTACTAGAAAGTCTACGTTCAAGTTCCTGATGTAGAAGAAAGTCCTGACTTTGTGCTCGACTGGACTGTTTTGTAGGAAGAAAGAAAAGCCTTCCAGCTGAGCGAACTTTGCCCCAAAGCCACTCCCAGCCAGGAAGCAACTTGGAAACCTGGAAACCCTTCCTATAAGTTCTGAGAATAAAGTGCATCAGTGTCCCTTGTCCTGATTTTTGGTGAGATGACAACATTTTGTCTTTTGTTGCACGCAGTGCCAAGAGGCTCAGACTTGGAAGATGGTTTTGGGTTTGAATTCTGACTAGCTGTGTGTGATGTCAACATTCCGCATCTCAGAGGGTTCAAATCTGTGACAACAGCACCCATTTCACAGGTGGCTGTGAAGGTTCATGGAGCTAAAGTATAGGGAGCACTGAGCCTCGAACCTGAATGCCCTCATCACAGGTTAGCACTACTGACTGCCCCACCACCCCATCAGTCTTGGTTAACACGTGTGACTCTTGATGATAGATGAGTTTTGCTGTAAAGGCCAGAGTAACAACAATTGAAAGAAGACAGATGTGTATTGCTGGCTCGTCCAGCCATCTGTGTGTCAGCAGTCCAAGGCTGACATGCACATCCGTGGTGTTGGTTCCTGAGAGAACATGAATGGGTCAAGGGTACCATGTCTCAGCCCAGAGAGGGACAGCCTGTCAGAACAATGGAAACAAAACTTCCAGTGTCCCTTAGGGTCCTATATTTTGGATACTAGACCCTTATTGGATATACAGCTCACAAAATTTTCTCTCAATGTGTAGGTCGTCTCTTTGCTCTGTTGATAAAGTCCATTTTTCTTTTTATTCAGTTTTCATGTGTTTGCTCCTTTTCCACTGATCTTCCTATTGTTGATTTCTAATTTTATAGCACTGTGATCTGAGAAGATGCTTTGCAGTATTTCAATGTTTTTAAATTTGTTAAGGCTTGCTTTGTGGCCTAACATATGGTTTATCCTGGAGCACATTCCTTGTGTACTGGAAAAGAATGTGTTTTGTGCTGTTGTTGGGTGAAGTGCTCTGTAGATGTCTATAAGGTCGAGCTGGTGGATTGTATTGTTTAGTTCTTTTACGTCTTTGTTGAGTTTCTTTCCAGTTGTTCCGTCTTTCATTGAAAGTGTATTAAAGTCTCCGACTATGACTGTGAGGCCAGGAAGTGAGTGGAGCAGTTTGGAACAGCTAAGAGAGACGCACTTGTCTGTCAGTTTGTCATCCTGTGGTGGCCTACATGTTGCTGTGAGGGTGGAGACTATGCCACCAGTATTGCAAATGCCAGCAGGGTTACCCATGGTGGACAGGTTTCAGTGGAACTTCCAGACTAGGACAGACTCAGAAGAAGGAAGAGGCCATCCACTTCTCAAAGAATTGGCCAATGAAAACCCATGAATAGCAGTGAAACATTGTCTGATATATTACCAGAAAACTTTATGAAGAGCCCTAAAATATTGTCCGATATAGTGCCAGAAGATGAGCCCCTCAGGTTGGAAGGCACTCAAAATACGACTGGGGAAGAGTTGCCTACTCAGAGTCAATGATGGGCCCAGGTATAGCAAGGATTGTGAGACTGGCACAGGATCAGGCAGTGTTTCATTCTGTTGTACCTACAGTTGCTGTGAGTCAGAGACGACTCAATGGCACCTAACAACAACAACTGTGACTGTGGAGTCATCTATTTGTCTTTTCAATTCTGTTAAAGTCTGATTTATGTATTTTGGGGCTCTTTCATTGGGTGTATAGATATTTATTATGGTTATGTCCTCTTGTTCAATTGATCCTTTAATCATTATATAATATCCTTCCTTGTCTCTTATGGTGGTTTTTGTCTTAAAGTCAGTTTTATCAGAAATTAATATTGCCACTCCTATTCTTTTATGGTTGCCATTTGCTTGATATATCTATTTCTAACCTTTGGGTTTTAGTCTATTTGTGTCTTTCTCTCTAAGGTGTGTCTCTTGTAGACAGCATATTGATGGGTATGTTTTCTTATCCAATCTGCAACTCTGTCTCTTGAGTGATGCACTTAATCCATTGACATGCAGTGTAATTATTGACAAGTATGAATTTGTTGCTGTCATTTTGTTATGTGTTTTTTCATGGTGTTGCTGATTTCTTTGTTCCATATAATTTTCTGTGCTGAGCTCATTTTGTTTGTGAATCATGTTATCACTTCCTTCATTGCTTTTGTTTTGTTGTTATTGTTAGGTGCCATCAAGTTGGCTCCCACTCATAGCGACCCTATGTACAACAGAACAAAACACAGCCCAGTCCTGTGCCAGCCCTACAATCCTTGCTATACCTGAGCCCATTGTTGCAGCCACTGTGTCAGTCCATCTCATTGAGGGCCTTCCCCTTTTTCGCCAGCCCTCACTTTACAAAGCATGATATCCTTCTCCAAGGAATGTTCCCTTCTGGCAACATGACCAAAGTAGGTGAGACGAAGTCTGGCCATTATTACTTCCAACGAGCCTTCTAGCTGCATTTCCTCCAGGACAGATCCGTTAGTTCTTTTGGTAGTCCATGGTACTTT